GATGAGCTTCTAACATTTCAGTTTTCAGTGTTTTTTTTTTTTTTTTTTTTTTTTTTTTTTTTTTTTTTTTTTGGTTAACTTTTTTAACCTTTACCTTAAATAGAACTGTCTGATTACTAATATTTAACTATCACATAAAAAAACATGCAATGATTTCAATAAATCTCAATAAATATTTTTGGTAATCTCTCTGTATTTGTTTTTTTATTTTTTTATTTTATTTTATTTACTTATTTGTTTATTTATTTGTGGCCTTTATGAACCTCGTATTCTGGCAGGTAGTCGTCGTGAGGTTCTTAAATCCTAAAACAGAATTTGTATATTTTATTTTATCTTTTTTTATTTATGTTAAATATCATATCCACACCTCCAAATATTTACAACAAAAACCTAATTTCCAGATTTTATTATGTTATATCAATATCTATATAGAATCCTTAAAATGTATTTCAAATGCTAATTCCATTAAACTTATAGCAGCCCTTAAAGAATTATAAAATTTTTAAATGATAGTTATTTTTTGTAAAGCCCTTTGTTGTTGTATATGTTTGTAATTATTAATGCTCCATATTGTTCATGTATGTTCTTTTTTTTGCAAGAAAAAAAAGAAAGAAAAAGGTTGTTAAATCCTTGCAGGAAGTGAGCAGGAAGTGGTCCTTTGTTTTCATCAGGGATGGTCTGAGGGTGAAGCTGCAGCTGAGCGCGCTGCCCAGCTTGGCTCCAGCTCGCTGCTGCATACATGCACCGATTCAACATGTGAGCCGCCGATATGAAGCCATTCCAACACTAGTCGCTCCTTTCTTTAACCCCCATTTGAATCGCTTGGTTTGGATATATCATGTATGGACTATGGATCGGATCTGGACGCGGTGCCAAATCCTGCTGCTGCTTCTGTGCGCTTTTTCACTGAGTTCATCGCTGCGTGAGGAAGACGCGTCCTGCGATGGAGCCTTTGACATTTATTTTGTTTTAGACAGGTGAGTTCTTGTTTGTGTACTTACGGGACGTGTTGCTATTTCCCTGGAGCACAGTCAGCCTTTACCTCAGTTTTGTCCATGTATGGTTGCGTTTTCATGTCCCACATACTTTGATACACAACTGGTCTTATCACAAGTAAGTTATTTCAATCCTCCTTTAAAAAAAAATATTTGTATACATTATAAATTAATTTAAGTGGCTGTCATAGAATAGTAAAACGCACTACTCTAATTTTAATAATTTTTTAAAATTACAATAGCTTTTATTACATAAAAATAACTTTTAAGATCTGTGCCTATTGATTATTGTAGTCTGTGTTTTGGTACAATGCCATGAAAAAGTATAGCCTTCATACTAATTTCACTTTTTTCCTCCTTTTTTAAATTGTTTACAATGGTAACCTGCAAACAGAACTTCTAATATTTTTTCTTTCAGCAAGAGTTGTGTAAAAAAAAGTAAAAAAAAGTTGACTGATTCTTAAATTTTATTTCAGTATAATATGGGAAAAAAGTCAGAATTGTGAGAAAAAAGTTAGAATTGTGAGATTAAAGTCAGAATTCTGAGAAAAAAGTCAGAATTTGGAGAAAAAAAGTCAAAATTCTGACTTTTCCCCATGTTATATTGAAATAAAATTTAATAATCAGTTAACTTTTTTTTATTTTTTCAGTGGCCCTAATCGTCTTCCATAGTTGTGCATCCCTGCAGCTCCTCCAGAGTTATCATGCCTATTGATGACTTTTACAGTTAATTTTTCCTTGCACATCATTTTCAGATATTCATAAGCACCTCTGTGTTTTGACATATTACATAAGAATCCCAAAAAAATAAGATAATGTAACAATCTTAATTTTGTTTTTATGGCTTTGTTTTTTTTTTTTTTTTTTTTTTTTTTTTTTTTTGTTTGTTTTTTTTTTTTATTGTTCTTTTCTTTTTTTCAGGTCAGGCAGTATTTCAAGCCACTGGAATGAAATTTATAACTTTGTGGAGCAGCTGACCAGTAGGTTTGTCAGGTAATAAACAATTTACACATCTTTCCTCCTTTTTGTAACTCCTGCAACAGTATCAAATAACCTTCTTGAGATTTACAAACAAGTGTTTTAAGGTCCACAAAGCAAACCAGCCCTGTTAACCAAGTGGCCAGTCTTTAAATTCCCGTCTAACATATGGATAGAGGGTATAAAAGAATGTTGGGCATGGCTATTTGAGGTTCAGGCATCACATTAAGCAAACAACTGCTCTGAGTAACAGCCTGTGATATATTTGGGTCTAATAGCAGGGTGGTTAGAAAGTGGACTCGGGTATGCAACATGTGCTGAAGCTGGTTCTGACCTCTAGAACCACTGGACCCTTTAAAAGATGGAGAACAGGAAACACCAGCAGGGGTTGGTTTTCGTCTTCCAGGAGTACGATGTGTTTGAGCTTTCAGCTAAACACATCCAGCTCACTTATATTGTTTATTAATGCTTGTTGATGTGGTGTGTTTCAGCCCCAGGATGAGGGTCTCCTACATTGTGTTTTCATCCAGGGCAGCTGTGACACTTCCTCTAACAGGAGACAGGTCGGTTTTTGTCTCTTCCTCATTCTGTTTCGCAATTTATCCTTTGTTTTCTAACCAAACAAAATGCTTATAATGAATGTGTTTTTTTTATTTGGTTCAACAGGTCAAAAATAGAAGAGGGTCTAAAGAAACTGAAACAGATCCAACCATCAGGGGAAACATACATGCACGAAGGCCTGAAAGCGGTTGGTGGGACAGTGACACTGGCTTTACAATAGCCTTTGGTTCAAGAGAGTTTTCTTTCTACTTGTCCCTAACCAGTTTTAGGAAAAATGCCATGATAAAGCCCAGCTTCCTAACAAAGGAATATAGGTTTGAAAAGTAAAATGAGAATAGACAGCCCTTAAAATATCTATCAATGGCTAGAGCTGGTTTCATTTGATTAAATTGACTAACTAAGCCAGGCTTTGAATATCTTAATGCTGAGTTCTGATAGGAAAAACTGTCTAGAAATTCAAATTTTGGCTATACTGTATTCTAGGGCTGGATAATTCCTTGCATTTCTAATTTAATCACAATTTTCAAATCACAAAGTAAAACCCACATTTTTTTACTCAAGCCCTTTAGATGGCAGGAATAAATTTAAACTGGATGTTATGCCACCATAAAGGAAGAGAGAGAGATACAGGTAGCGTGCAGATTCATGCATGTCAATACCCAATCCGTCCCGGAAGCAAGATCCGTACCATCAGCTCATATGTGCATGCGCAACCAGATATACATCCAGGTCACCCTTGATTTTACTTTGTTAAAAAGACCTAAATTAAAAATTTCCCTCCCTAAAAATTGTAAATGTACTAAATTATAATTTGTTATTTATAACTTCTGTTTGATCACTCATCTGTACCGGAAATGGGATCCTACGCTACTTCTAAGAGCTAACTTTTTCGGCCTTAGATTTAAACATAAATCTAGTTTTTTTAGTTTTTTTTTTTTTCTTTGTTAACAATACGGCATATAGTGTGTAATTTAAAGAAAGAAATAACTAAAATGCAGATCCACATGGTTAATCATATTTTGATGCACTACTCCTAGCGTGTCCGATGATGATGTCAGACAAGCAGTTTAACGGAGAAAACGTAAAAAGCATCAAATTGCCGCAAAACTCATACATTATTTTTTAAAGATGTGTATTAGCATTCTTTAGTGATTAAAGGATATAAATAAATACTTTTTATACCATAATTACATTATTTATGGTGACCTGGATGAATATCTGTTTGGGCATGCGCAATTGAGCCGATGGTACGGATCCTTTTTGACAATGGAATCTGGTGAAAAGAGCTTTCAATGAGACATGTATGTGCTTGGGGTTAGTGCAGAGTAAAATCCAAATAAAATGTCAATTGCAGTTAAGAAAACAAACAACTAAATTGCTTAATGTATCTAAAAATAAACAAAAATCCTTTTTCAACTTAAAATGTGTACTTAGTTTTGGTTTTCCTGAACGTTCTACTTTTCATCTGAAGGCGTCACTTTATGTTCCCTCCCATACTTTGTCAAAGTGGCCACAAGTTCAAATAATGTACCCTTATGTTAAATGATTTAAACTGATATTAGAATGGGCAGTTGTCTAGAAATGACTCCTCCTTAGAGCTTCCCTGGACAACAAGGACGTCCCTGTTTTAATGGCCAGTTTTAAAAACAAATTAGCTTTATGTTGATCGATGACGACCAACTGAAAATTTATCGACTTTGGCTTTCTTGAGATAAGCAAAAGAGTCATCTTGCACCACTTGTTGAAAAATGTTTCCAATGCATTATTATAACCTTAAATAATTTGTCATTTATGCTCATGATGTATGGACACATGAATGAATGAATGAATGAACTAAATCCTTCACCTGTCAGGTATCAGAGCAGATGAATACACAGACTTCCCCATCATCCAGTATCATCATTGTTTTGACCGATGGCAAGCTGGACGTCTACCCCTATGAACTGAGTGTGAAGGAGGTAACACACCCTTTCATACACACAACCATTCATACACACACATGCTGCTAAAAATGAATCTAATGGTAGAGGATGTGGGTGTGGAGAAAATCCCTCCTCATTTTATTTTCCAGCTGGTGAGCCTTAATTTCATTTTGACCAAACAGATTTATTTTTAAGGCATGGTGTTTGTCACTGCTTTATGTTTTACCTTATCCTGCATGAACTGTTGTTTTATTTTCAAATACCTTGGTATAATTACACTTTTTATAAACTTGCATGTGTTCTGATCCCATAATCCGTTCGCCACAAACGTTTGAGGCTGAATTTCCCTTCTTTTTCTGGGATTTGCAGGCTGACAAAGCCAGAGGGTTTGGAGCCAGAGTCTACTGTGTCGGGGTCATGGGCTTTGATCACAAACAGGTAGGAGGTACCGCTCCTCCTTTATTAGACACACAGAGGCCTCCCTTCAGAACCGTGAGAAAGGCAGCTTGTTTAAACACAGACTTTTATTTGCCTTTCTGTCTGTGTAATTCAGCATTGGACTGTAGCATAGATTTAAAAAGGCTGTTCTCTCTGGCCCGTATCCATTAAACCACCTTGACCCTGTTGCTTAGTCTGAGTTCAACTAAAACCTTCCGAAGAGTGAAAAAAGTGAACAGCTGTCAGGTGTTTGGAGATAGTGGGAACGAGATTTTGACTCGTCTAAAAGTACTCCTTGTCTCTGAGTAAAAATAATAGAAATATAATTTGTTTACTGTGAGAATGAATGGGAATAAAGCCAAATACATTAACACCCAATAAGAATCACTCATCTGCTGTGACATGTTGTCTTCTCCGCAGTCAGTACTGTCTCATTATTCCTAATGAGGTTTAGAAAACAAAGGGCAACACTGTAATTACATTGGAGTAGTGTAACACAGCAATATTACATTTTGTTGAGTAACTGAGCTGGGTCAGCATCATTTATATCATTAATCTATGTGAAACTTAATACTTAGTTCGATGTTAAGATGCTTCTACCCCCAAACATTGCATAGAGTCCAACAGATCCTCTGGCCAGTTTCAGAGCCGTTACACTCAGTGGTCTAAAGAGGAAGTACTCTCTAATGATATAATGCCAGAGCAGCTTCTTGCATAGCTATAATTACCGCAGGAGATGAAAGCTGCAGCAAGCTTTCATCTCATTTGGAACAGACTCGCCCTCCTTAAATGCTGCTGAAACAATGAACATCCACCACAAGCCAAAGAGCTCCCTAAAAGGGATCAGGGTTTATGTAACCCATAAAGCTTCACCCAAAGATCCTTCCAAATGTCTTCATGCCCTTCTATCTTTGCTCAGGTTACAATCATTACTGTCTACTGGCAGTAGATTTTTCTTCCTGTTTTTGGATCCATCCACCTTAATCTGGCCAACTTTCTTTCACTCTAATGAAAGAGGGTATTCCCAAAGCACAACGCTGCCACCACCTTGTTTCATGATGGGGTAGTTTCATGAAGTAAATGACCTAAAGATCCCCCCTTCTGAGTTGTGCGTCTCTGCAGCTCTGCCAGATTTACCATGGACCTCTTGTCTGTGTCTTTGAAAAATACTCATCGGTCATGTCAGTTAGCATGTTAGGTGAAGGTGTGTGTCTTGGTAGTTTTGTGGTAGTAATGTAATGCATTATTAGGTGATGGATTAAACAGTGATTTCACATTTTATTTAGGGGCATCAAAGGGTGAAAAGCTTCACTTTCTACATTTGTATCAGTAAAATTATTTGAAAATCTTGTATTATTTTTCAAATCCAACTATTGTTATTGTGGTTGCAGCTCGCCGAGATAGCAGACGGCACGGATCAAGTGTTTCCAGTTCTTTCCGGATTTCATGCCCTCAAAGACGTTGTCAACAAGGCAAGTTAGTTTCAAACACTTTGATATGCAAACATCTGCAAAATATTAGTCTGGAGTCATTTCTCTGCTTCGCAGGTCCTGAAACAGTCGTGCAGTGAAGTGTTTACAATAGAGCCGTCCAGCGTCTGCGTGAACGGTAGGTTGGTTTACTGGAATTTATTTAGCCTTTAAAACAAAATAAGGAGACATAACGATAGGGTATCACACTTTGGATCTAGGCTTTGAAAAATTATTGCTAAAAGGTATCTTTGAATCTCGTTTTGCCATGAGGTTTGACAATTATCCTGCAGGCTTTGCAAAAACGAATGGAAGTCAATCCAAAATCCCAGTAAGGATGATGTGACATAAAGCATGCATGTGCATGTCTGTTTCTCTTTGGTTTAATGGACCAATATCTATATACTGCATCAAACAGATGTTTTCAAATTATATTTGTTCCATGAAGAGATGAAAGTATCAAGAAGTGGATTGAACTAAACAAAGAAGCTAACATCATCAGATATGGTTATAGAGTCCAATAAAGGCACACACGGATGCATTTAAAACAACTTTGAATTATGTTAATGCAAAACTAGATTTTTCATTAAGCATAATAGAAGCATCGTCACTCTGAAAGGAAATGGCATCTTTTGTCAGTTTTAGAATATTATAACAAAATAATAATCATATTAACAATGGATCATTTCAAACCAGATGTTTAGATACACTTTTGAAACAGTTTGTTAACCTGAGAACAAAATTCCAGCTTTGAGGTACGGGGAGGGTAGAATCATGTTGTTTGTTTTTTGTTTTACCAACAAGGGACTCTGTGGCATTGAGATGCAAGAACAGTATGGAATTGTTCATCTAACGTGTCAAAAAATAAATCAGAGAAGGAAAGTTCAGGCAAAGCCAAGTAAAAGCAGACATATTAAAGCATGGATCTCAATTAGAGATCCAACTCAAGAGCAGAATAACCCAGCAGGATGGTTGCAGGCCTGGAAAGAGTACTGTCTGTAAGGGTTGGGTTTTAAACATATCTCTGCCATGTATTAAGTTAATGCACATGAATATTTAAACTATGAAAAATAAATAAATGAACTATGACTTTGGTTTTAAAGCTTGAATTTAATAAATTACATTTTTGTTTGTTATTTATGCATTCTTTTGCCAGGTGAAATAAACTGGAACCGTCTCTAGATTGTAAAAGATTGATGTGGGACGTCTGAGACAACATATTACACATGCACTGGTCAGCATCACCACTGACTTCTAGCATAAGCAGTAAAAAGAGTCTTCTGTCATCTAGATAAGGTTTTAAAACCATTCCAGCTCTGTGTTTGGGCGAGGCTACTTTTCTTGTGTTTTCTTGGATGAACTTGGCAGAACACTGCAGAAGAAAAGTGATTTCATTCGTCAAAGAATTTGTTTTTGGCCTAGGAGCATAATTCCAAAGTCTGCAGGTCACCAAGTATCTTAATAACAGCAATTAAGCTCAAACCAAACTGGATTGTTGATTTAATAATTCTAGCATTATTGATATATAAATGTTTTCACCTCTGTCATAGCATCCTTTAGAAGATAGTGTATCTTTGGATGTTTTCTACCCTCTCAAACAAACTGATGGGATGAGATTGGCTGTGCTGGGCCGTTGTTGTTCCTTTTAAATATGTCGGATTTAAATTGAGATCTGGACAAAGATCCAAAGGACTCTGGAGCAGATTTTCCTGAAGAATCCATTAACATTTGCTGCTATCATTTCATCCTCTATCCACCCCATTTCTTAAAAAATCCTCCTCGCACTATGATGCTGCCTCCACCATGCTTCAATGCAGGGATATTGCTGTAGGTAGTTGATGAACTTTGATCGTTTCTCCCCTGATGTGATTCGAGTTGTTTGCAAGGGGCTTTCTGGTAAAGAGTGACTGATTGTTCAAATACCTCAGCAAGAGTTAAAGGTATAATGGAGGATTTTCATGAATTTTTAAAAGACCCACCCTCTTCCCTTTAAAAAAAATGCACATGCACAACCCTCTACCCGCTCCCGAGAGGAAACAGCTATTAAACGCATGCATGAGCTAATTTTTCCTTGTGCACGCTCTGTTTAAATGTTGCAGTTTGCATCTCTCATACAAGCTTACTTTCCAAAAGAAGATTTGCAATTTTTCCACTATTTCAGACTCGGAACCAGTAAGTGAAAATTGGGACGAGCACGTACCTGTAGGACGGCCTTGCGTAAACATATCACCATAATGATTGACAATTAGGAGGAGCACTTATTTTGATGATCCACTCGGAAAAAGAACATCCTCCACTAAACCTTTAACCTTTTGAAAGCTTTCAAGATCTGGTAACATTTAATTGGTAAGATTAGAGCTTCACCTTAATGAACATTTAGTTCTTGGTCATCTCTTTTCTCCCTAAATGATTCCGACTGCCTGCTTAGACAATCAGGCTAATTATATTAGATCTAAGAATGGTTCTAATGATTCAGAACTACTTCCATCTCCAAACAATGGAGACCACAAAGCTACTCAGGATCAAGCTGCAGAAACATCTCAATGAAGATCAGTTGAAATAAGAGGATCAATTTAACTGTGGTGGGAATGTTAAATATTCATTTACCTTTTTATCTTCATATGTTTGAATTTTTCATTATGTCATGCGTGAACATCTTCCTCATGTTTTGTGGATTTTATTTTAAGAGAATGTTTTAAAATAAGCATAAAGCATAATGAAACAATGGAAGAGTGAAGGGGAGTGACTACTTTCTGTCGACACTGTTAGATGCAGGAAAACAAGCTTATGTTGCAACATTTATTTCTTCAGCTTTCTAGTGTTTTTTTTTTTTTTTGTTAAATGTGAAAATTTTAGACTATCCAAAAATTCACATGTGGTCCCACTCCCATATTAAAACAACATGATCAATCTTCTGATATTATTTCATGTTCTCTGGTCGGCCCGTTTCCAGACCTCATATGCAAGAGGTCAGATCCTCCCAGGACAGCTGAAAGAAAAGAAACCCTGCAGGAGAAGTCTTGCTGGTGCAGGAATGGGTGAAAAAACACCACTTGACTCTCTGCCTTACTACAGCAAGACGGATTAATGTTTGTAGGCATGCTGCCACAGGAGTTTACAGGACTTCAGGAAATAAAGGAAATCTAGACATCAAGTTCTATGTGATCAAACCAAATTGTAGCTCTGAAGTAAGGCAGAGCACCTATTGTTTATTTATAACTAAATGACACCATAAGGAAGAGGAAATGACCGCTTACAGATAAACCTAGGGTAGCTGGGTTTCTTTATGTCTCCTTGGTAGTTAGTTCACAGATTAAAGCTTTGCGTTTAATCAAGGGGTATCAATAAGCAGTAATTTCTGTACGTTTTGTGTGTTTGTTTTCCAGAGTCTTTCAACATAGTTTTGAAGGGGAGTGGATTTAGCGGCAGCAAGAGGATCGACAACATTCTCTGCTCTCTCACTGCCAATCAAGTGACTTACAGTAAATGATACTTCAGTAACTATAGCTCTCACACTTAGCATACCGACTTGTTTCCAGCTGTTGTATAATTGCTTGTTATTGCTGAGGGGATATTATCTTCTTGGGTCAAAGCTTCTTGGTGCAGCTACACGGCACCATGATGCTGTCTGAAATAAACTAAGCCCCACTTGAAACAGTGTGCAGATATCAGAGCTGCAGTGGAAAGTTGGGAGTCATGGCTCTGTGAAACAAACAGTGGCTGCCTTTTATCAGCTGCAGCCATAGAACAGAGGAGACATTATGAGGCTGAGCAGAGGGAGAGAGATGTTCTCTCCCCATTAGTCTATTAACAGATCGATGACATGAACTGCGCTGAGGTCAGTGTCCCTGAGAGGACCACTACAGAGAGCATGTGATTTGTTTTTTCCGCTTTTTTTGTGCCTGTGAGGTTGTTGGGGAGGTTGTTAACTCCTGACTCCTTTTCTGTGTTTTTCTGTAAAAATCAACTGGAAAATGTGATTCTTTTTAAATTATTTTGCTTCTAATAATTAGATGTTAAATCCATAAGCTTCTCATTAATTGCTGTATAATAGCTCCAGGCACATACACTGCAAAAGCTATCTAGAAATAAGTAAAACTTACTTAAATTAGGTGTATTTAACCTTAATTTGAGTACCTAAATAAGATTGCCAATTAAATAAATATTTTTACTCCTAAAGTACGATAATTAGATAATATGCCTTTGAAATAATAATAATTTCAAATGTAAATTGTCTTGTTCCATTGGTAAGGTGTCTCACTTAACCCCTTAATTCAAGCAAAAATCAATTTATTTTAAGAAAAAATGACTTATTTAGATTCACATTTTTTGCATTGTACAGCATAAGGCTTGATCTTGTAACAGAAAGCTCTGTCTTTACACCTTTAAGCTGTCCGTAGTTTTGGATATGTTTTAATGTTGTGTTTTTCCTGTCAGATGAGAAGCCAACAGTTGTCAGAGATGGCCATCTACTGTGTCCAGCTCCTCGTCTACATGAGGTTGGACAGTAAGTTTGCAAACACACATGCAACTAAAAGCATTAATGAGCTGTACTTACAAAATTACATTATATCAGGGATCTATTTTGTTTTTTAGATTTTTACCACAAGCTAAGTCAGTGCACCAATGTGTAGTTATTTTAAGAAATGTTTTTAAATCAACATTTATTTCCATCTTGACTTCGGCATTCATCTAAAAGGTTTTAATGAAAATGCAATGAATACACAAGTAAATAGATAAACTAAACTGGGGGATTGTTAAATTTCAGCTGTTGTAGATCAAAATGAATCCCACATTAATGAATAATTGATTTAACCACATCTCTGCTACAGTACTATAACCCTGTTTGGTAATTCTAGGTGTAGTTTTAGTCATTTTCTGAAACATTTCACAGGCTTGAAGCAGATTGGCAGGTGGCTCTTAGTACAGCCTGTGTGCAGTCTTCATTTAACTTTAGCCTGGAAGCTTCTTTGGAGTTCTTTTTTATTTATATTACCATAGGTGAATTGGGTTTTTAGGTTTTGTAAACCAGTCCTGCATTGATTTGAGCATGTTCGGCTTTTATTTGTGGTGAAAGAATAAAAAGGAGCCATTTTCGTTTTCTTCTCATAGACTCTGATAGAAACTGATGTTTTATTTCTATATTTTTGCTATTTAGACAAAACTAAAATACCATCCCACTCTAGCAAGGTTTCCGGGGCCTTTTAAAGAGAAGAATGTCTCATTTGGCTCATGGAATCCTTAATTATGATATTCATACATTTATTTCTTGAAAATTGTGCGCTGTGTAAATACAGAAACCAGTATAGTGGGTTGAGCCAAGACCTTTTTTGTCCACATCAAACATAGCACTATATTTTCCCAGAAATCTTTGGGTTTTCTTAGATCACGTTACCAAAACTCCACCATAACCCACAGCAGTAAAGTAGGAAGGCCTGATTAAAAACAAACCTAATTAGTGTTAATTTTGTTTAAGAGGACTTTTAATGTTTGCATTTTTTGCATTCTTGATCATATCAAAGTCTAACCAGGTTGGATTATGTCCTCTCGTTTAGGTCACAGCAGTTTCCTAACAATCCATGTTTTATTGTTGCGGCTATGTCTTAATTTCTCTGTTTGTTGATTACAGATCAGTTGAAGTGCTGATTAGCCTGAATAATGGACAGTCCTACATCTCCGCCCCCATCGCCATATCTGCCACCACATGTGTGGGTATCAATTTAAACTGAATGCTGCTAAATGAAACAAAGCTTCTGTTGGTGCAGAAAACAAATCTGAGGTTTACATACATGGAGACAGATGTGGGCTGTGCTCTATCATATTTTTTGTAGTTTGACAGCATCACACATTTTGTTCCATGTCTGTTGCAGTCAGATGGGACCTGGGTGCTGTGGTTGCTGTTGGCTTTGCTGTTGTTAGTGGCTCTTGGTTTATTCTGGTGGTTCTGGCCTCTCTGCTGCACTGTGGTAAGTTCAACCTCCTTTTATTTGTATATAATTTATTTCATTTGGCTGTTTTATATTTGTTCTTGTTTTATTTTATCATGCAAGCTAACAAACTAAAGTTAAGCTGATAGCGTTTTAGTAGCATGTTTAATATGCAAAATAATCCAGCACTATATGTAATATTAATTTGCAAACTGTACAATCTGCTGATTAGTCCTTAAGACAGAATAAAGCACCAGCTTCTGTGCATGGGTAACCAGGTTGGTTTGAGTTTTTAAAGATGCAATTCAAACTTTCTTCTTTTCTTAATCTTGAACTTTAAAATTCCTTCATCTCAGAGCAAACAGAATGCGCTATTAGTTGCAAATTGCAACAAGAACCATGATAACTAAAACACTGTATTTTTCTGCTTTTATGCAGTGTTATGCATAGTTTATGTATGTCAATTTTAGCCTCCAAACGATTTCCACATCTGGGTATAATTATCTCCCTGTTCAATTAAAAAAAATCCACAATCTATCGGTAAAATCCACTAAGTAGCATGCTTATTAAAAAAGTTGTGCAAGCATGATAAACAACACCCATTAACAATAACATATTTCAGATGATGCATTCTTATTCCTAGAAAACATCTTTTAGTAGCAGAGGTTGTAGGTGATTCATTTAATAAGATTCAGCAACAATAAAGTGAGAAGTTTAATTTGTGATTAATGTGGTTAAAAATGCCAATAGCCGTATTTCATCAGTATTTGTTCATTCATCACATATTTACCTTTGAGTGACAGATTTGTTGAGATAACTGTAAACTGATGTTGCATTTATGAATGTATTTTTTTGCCTCCAAATCTGATTAATAATTCTTTTCCTCCTGTAAATTCCAGAATAAAAAACTTTAGAAATGATAGTCATTACTTTCAAAAACTTGCTTTTATCAGTCATTCCAATTTGGAGGTGACATAATTTAAAAGGCAACAGAATTCAATAATATAACAGACTAAATGTTAGCTGGTAATGCTACCATACGTTGAGCTAATTTATTAGTTATGAGTGGACCTCTAAGAACAAAAAGGTGATGATTCTGATGTCTCTTTGAGCTACGGAAGCCCAAGAAGTACATTTGTGGAAAAAAATTAAAGAGATTAAGTTGTCACAAACAGCACATTTGATTAATTGATATAAATTTATCACCAAACCCTAATTTGAAACTCATCAATTACAATTTCCAACAAAAAATGGAAATATTATCAGATCTACTGTCAAATTAACAATAAAACACACCATAAAAACTGAAATGTTTTCCCTCTAACCACTTTTTATGTTTATTTTATTTCAAGAAGTATTTTCTAACTATTGCTAAGGTTTTTAAAGGTTAACATTTGTCCTAGAATTCCCTTTTTTTGTTGTTTAAATCTTTTGCCAATGCTTTCACACAGGTCATCAGGGACCCCCCTCCTTCACGTCCCCCTCCTCCACCTCCTGTTTTTGTAAGTAAAAAAAAAAGGGGGGGGTGTTTTTTGTAGAACTGCCATGTGTTAGAGCAGATCTTTTTTTACCTCATGCTGCCATCTTGGCAGAGGTGATTGAGAGAAGATAAATTTGGGTGAACACAGAAGGAGCGTGGGTGGAGCTAAGGAGGCTGACAGAATGCTTTGGCATTTATTTGTCAAGGTCCAGTGAGAAAACTGAATCCTTTACATTTACGTTGAACATTGTAGAGATTAAATTCTAGCTTAACTTTAATGTCACAGTTAAAAGTTTTTATTCTGAATTTAAAAGACTTTATTTGGGGACACATGCTTGTGTGGATAATTTTTTCTGAAGAACATGTTGATGGTTTTTCACTAAGGAACCAGAGGAGGATCCTCTACCGAAACACAAGTGGCCAACTGTAGACGCTTCTTACTATGGGGGCAGAGGTGCTGGAGGAATTAAACGCATGGAGGTTAAAATTCCTATTTTAAAATAGAAAATGTATTAAAGTTTAGTTCGGTGTATTTGTGATGCAAGTGTAGCACACTTACTTCCTGCAGGTGAGATGGGGCCAGAAGGGATCCACAGAGGAAGGTTCGCGTCTAGAGAAAGCCAAAAATGCTACAGTCACCATGCCAGAGGAAGTGGAGGAGCCCATTATTCCTCACCCCCCACCAAGACCACCTCCTGTTTACAACCCCCCATCCCAACCTAAGTGGTACTCTCCAATCAAGGTGAGATTGGAATCTATACTGTCTGCAAAAAACAGTGAGCTTTGCGATTGGAGATATAAGAATAGTTCTGTGTAAGTTATTTAGGTAATCTAATGCTACTTGCATAACAGACGCGTTTAAGGGCAGATTAGACTTCGCGAACCAGTTTTGCTGGTATGCTTCTGCACCGTCGGTCTGGAATTTCTAGGGACACACAGCAGTTACCCGCCAAAGTGCAAGGGGGAGCCTATTGGAGAACTTGCGATAATTTCGGCTGATGGTCACGAGAACTTTGGCGGTGCCGGCGGGAGTGTTTATCTTCCAAAACAACAATGGTGCGTCTGCAAGATATCAAGGTCACGGAGATGGATCTAGAGTCGCTAGACGTCGAAGAGGAACAAGTTCTGTTAATGGAGCGAACCCCCTCGACGAACCTTTTGTCGTAGTTGTCCATTGTAGTTGTTCCTCGGTTTTTAAATACATCCGGAAAGGCATACCAAGGACCAAACACACCTGCTTTAGGTCTGCATGGGTTTGTGATTTTTTTTTAGGTGCGCAACAACGGTTGCAGAACCTCTGCGCGGGGGGTGTGGTTGCACACAGAGACAGATTTGACGGTTGCAGAGGCTATGCGTCAAAAGCATAAATTGGCCTTTACGGTAGCTAAAAAGCGCCTGCTCCTTGAAGTGTGTACACATTAAGGTCAGACGCACCTTAAGAGCATCCTTGACCCTCCTGAAGTGCTTCCAGTAAAGTGCGTTCAAATGCGTCTGAACCCACACACAATGCCCGCACACACAAGTCAACTTAACTGTATACTTCATTCGCCTTTTGTCTTTTGCTAGTATTTATTCAACAATCTGCCATTTACAGAAAATCAAACAATTCTTACATAACTTCTCTTGATAAATGTGGTTAGACTTGGCCTCCAAATGCCAATCGATGAACTACTTTAGTGGTAAAGTCATTTACAATGTCTATAAAGTCTAATTTCTTAGCAAGCTGATGCTTTATAGACAGCATTGTCAGATCATTGAACCTTTCCTGGGACATCCCAGGGCCCAGGTAGTTTTTTTATTATCTTCATTTTACTGAAGGCAAGCTTACCTCCAGCCAGTCACTGACAATGTCCAGTAACAATGTTTGTGTGCATGGTTTATTTCATGCCTTGGAAATCTTTCATAGCTTTCTGTATTTGATGTTGGATACTTTAATCCCATCTATTGAATTTAATGAACTAGTTTATCTTTTCTCTACATCATCATAGGAGAACAGCAAGCACTGTAGTCCCTAACAATTTCCCCCCTCCATTGTGGGAGGTAGAATAGGTTAGATACTTTGGATATTCTCTGCCCTCTAAAACTCCTGGCAGTTAATTTGCCATCTCTGAGAAAGACTTCCTTTTTGCCATTAAATGCACAACATTCACTCGATCACAATCAGTCATTTTTGTTGGCCACAGCGCAGAATCATTGAAATCAATGGCGGAATCCGTCTCTGAGCCACTGTGCTCAGACTGTCCAGTCTCTGTCATCGGTACGGATGGCTCTCTCTCTGTCTCCACCTCAAACCCCCACCCTGTAAACCAGCTTGCATGTAAACCAGCTGCTTCTGCTGCTTCAATGGTGTGCGGTGTGAATGTAGCATAATACAACGCTGTTTTATTAATAATCAACTCTGATTTTTCCCTTCAGGGACGCATTGATGCACTGCTGGCCTTATTGAGAAGGCAGTATGACAGAGTGGCCATCATGAGGCCAACGCCTCAGGATAAGGTAAGAAATAACCTCAGTACTTAACTACCAATCCAAATAAAAATAGAATTGATGATTATGGATGCTTTATCTAAGCTCTTAAGAAGTCTAAAAGGGAATGTTTTTTTTTTTTTTTTGGCATAGGTTTCCACAAATGCTTTCTTTCTGAAAATAAATTGGCCTCATTAACTTGTTACCAGGCAGTTCTTAAGCATAAGACCTGTTTATTGTCACACAGATAACTAACAGCCTTCTGCGCCCACTTAGCCTGCTATTATTAGCAGTGAACGCCTGCATGTATTGTCATCAAACACAGCTCACACACTCCCAGGTATAATGGGATTAGCTCACTTTTTGTTCATAGGGACCACAAAAACATTAGATGATTCGAAAAGCCTTGTTATTTCCTGATAAATCTTTCTCCTTCGGAATGTTGTCTGTTCCCAACAAGTTGTTAAAAATTAGACAAATGGCACCTCTGATGAACATCCAAACATGACCCAATGTTATTTGTAAAGATTGACGATGTGGCAATTTGTTGATCCACCCTCCACCTGTTTTTAATGTCCTTTATTTTAAATGCCAAAATGTTTTTGAAGTTTCTTATTGTCTGGAATTCTGTTTTTTTTTTTTTTTTTATGAGCAGGAGTTGGTTGGGAAAAGTTAAAACTAATTTCTACATATTTTTGTACTTTTTTGAAATTTGGATTTGATTGATAACGTCTTATAATTGTGTGTTTTTCTGGTTATTTGACCTAACTTTTAGATATTAATGTGACCAATGTTAAATTATTAAGTGTGTAAGTTATGCAGTTTGATTCATGACCCGGTGTCTGCCTCGGCAGATGGCCGCTCACACTGACCCTGGTTCTGCTGGATGTTCCATCCTGTTAAAAGGGAGTTTTTCCTCTCCACTGTCGCTACAAGCTGCTTTGAACCAATCTGTGTGAATTGGTTGAATTGTAAGGTGCCTTGAGATGACATGTGTTGTGAATCGGCTTTCTAGAAATAAACTGATTTGAATCAGGGAGGTCACAAAAGAACCCAGAGTAATATAACTGCAGTCCTTAGTTAAAGCCAGTTTTCATGATTCAACAATTTGAAAGGAAAACCAAACAGGGCATTTCTTGATGAAAAATGCTGATTAAAAAGGCTTATCTGACATTTATCATAAACATCTGAAAGATCACCAATACGCCAAAGCACACCTTTGAACAGCTCAAAATAAGTAAACTGATAAGAAGATAGAGGTCTAGTCAAAGCAAGTTATTTAATCAGACTGAACTGCTGTGGTGTGACTGAACAGGTTACCTAATGTTAAAACAAATCCCAAAAAACGTTCACTGTCAAAAACCCTCAGAGTAGGCTACATAGTTGTCTGCTGTACTTTAAAAGTTACAATAACGAATTCAAACCGGTTATGATATATGCCGATGACATTGTAATTTTCAGTATATATATTTCTTTTTAGCAGGTAAAAAAGAATCTAACAAGAAAGCAGCATACAATGCATCAGATTGTGCTTTTTTTTTTAGACAAATTTGTGTTTAACTTCTCCTTTCTGTTGTCTTTTAGGGTCGCTGCATCAGCTTTACCAGAATTCGTTCTCACTGAGGTGAATCAACTTTCACTCATCTCTAGTTTTTTGCCAAAAATCACAGACACATCCTCCAAGAGAAGAAAGTCCACATTCTGTGCCTTGTAAATAAACTTAATAACTAAAATATTTTTTTCTGCAGAATTTTTTTTATGTCTGAGCAAATAATAAAACAACACAAATTCTTATATTCTGTTTATTTAAAAGAAAACACGTCTCTTTCACAAAGATCTTTCAGACAAGTACCCCCTGATAACATAAAAGATACACGGAAATCTTTAAAAAAATACACATCAAAAGGACACAGACAGTGTGGATAAAAGCATGAAAAATATAGCATCACTTTCACTCAAAGCTGGGTATTAAAAGATCCTCACAAACCTACAGACAAATAAAGGGGGTAAGATCTTCTTTATACAAACACACATCAGTTTTTACTTCACTCTGAACAAATACTTGTTTTCTGTTTTTTAATACATGACATGGTTTTTAGACAGCTTACATCACAGAGCGAGCCAACCTGCAACAAGCTCGATGTGAAACTCATGATTAGAAAATGGTTTTAAAGCTTCTGATACAAAATACATTTGGAAAAAAAAGAAAACCCTCATATGAGTCACATAATATTATAATACACAGCATAGAGACACACACTCAAGTGCATGTTGTTTGCATGATGCTGCTGCCACTTAGATACTGTAGCTTTACAAAGACCCAAAGTGCACACAACGCAATTTGTTCCAATGCATTTAATAGAGTGATCACATGACTTTACTGTCCAAATGAAAATGAACTGTGAAGGAGTATTAAAAATGAATGACTTGACGGTTCGAGCACACTGCTTTCTAGATGCAATTTAAAGTTTGTAACATTTAACGCACATTACTGCAGTCTGGCTCTTCCTGTTTGTTTCAAAAATCTATTGTATGTTGTTAAAATGATGCATCCAAATGTCGCTGGCTCCTCAACTTTTATTATGAAGCCAAACCTCCCATTCAGCTGCTGTAAACATGTTGAACATCCGTCCGTACGACAAACTTCTGTCTGATGTCCTTTTAGTTTTAGTTTTTTCTCGATAAAGCCAAGCTTCACGGTGGAGTAATGTTTCTGGCCCTTTCCTTTCTTTTTTCTTTTTTGAATCAATGAAGCTCCTTGCGATCCCAAAAGGGTTCAAAAAGGCTAATATTTATTGTTCATTGTTCTGCAGAAATGTAAGTAGGTCCAGAATGTCAATTAGGCCCTGGGAATATGAATGGAAAATATGTAAAGTAGAGAAAACTTTTTAAGAGCGGTTTTCTCGATGGAGAAGGGAAGATCTGCAAAACAAAACAAAGAAATAACTTTTATCATACAGCCTTTGTTTTCCCAAATATAATATTTGTTTTCCCAAATATTTTCTATATAATTTTCTAATTAATGGGTTAAAATCATGCATCTGCATTTACCTTAGAGACCTACGGCTATCTTTCTCCATGTTGTTTTCTGGTCCTTCACTCTCATAAGAGGCCAGGTGCAGCTCTGCAAGAATAAGACATACTGAGGTTAATTAGCCAACACCTAACAAATTGACAGTTTTGTGACATAAAAGCGGTTAAATGTGGACTGACCGTCTTCCGTGTAAACAGGCGTGGTGACAAGATACTGAAGAATCCGGCGGTCTCTGTCGAACGGACAAATCACCTGACGCCAGACCAGGAACTCGCTAACCTGCTTCGCCAGCTCCCACAGTTTCTGTAAACATTCAGGGCCAAAGATTAATGTGAGAAAATGCATCTAAAACCAAGACAATCTGTACAGTTCCTACACATTCCAAAGGTTGACATTTCCAGAGCTCTCCATCTTTTTAAAACAAATTGAATTAATTAATTAACTACAAGTTTACCGCAGACTTGAAGAGAGAGAACTAAAGGCTTATAATAAAACATGGATGATCTGATGGATGGATGGAAAAAACATAAAACGGAACAGTTAGGTATAAACAGATGAAAGGATACCAATATGAATACAATGAAGGATGCTAATAAGAGGATGGATATTGTAATAAATAATAGACTAATGCTATATTAATTAATATATGGATGGATGAAGATAAGAAAACATAGATTGCTGACAAACTAAAGAACAGATTAAAAAAAATTTAGATAAATGACTGGTAGATGTGAAATGTGGTCTAAAAAATTCCATAGAAATGTTTTTTGCCACAAGGGGGAGCTATAGAACCACACGAGAGAGTCGATATGGTTTCATTCTGCACAGTTTTGAACTGACCTCAAAGTTGATGTGTCCGTTGGGCAGCCTGTTAGCACAGCCTTCATTCAGAAAGTAGATGTCTTTGATGAGGAGACTGAAGAAAGGAATCACGATCTGCAGGAAGGACACATTATTTTGTAATGTGGCAGGAAGCAGATTTTTCTTCTCTGTTGAGTTCCATGCACAGGCCTCCCTCACCTTCTCCTGGCTGCTATGTGCAGTCTCCGATCTCTGGGTGGCGCCACGGAGCGCCGTTCGGTAGTTACTGAAGTTACTGGACGGGTCCATCTGGTGCTGAATGAGATCACACGCATCGGACGTCATCAGACAACAAAACCATGCTCACATTTCAAAGGTTCACATCCGAGCTGCAAACCAGAATGTCTAATCTGCATATTGGTGACGTTAGTAGTTATCCTTACCTCCAGAATTTCAAACTTGTCTGTGTTGACTTTATTCCAGGTTTTCTTCAGTCTGGCGACCGGACTCATGTTCATCCCAGCTGAGGGACATAGAGGAAAGCATTCAGAGAGGCAGACCCAGGACAAAGCGTACTGCAGAGCTCCAGGCCTCTGCTAACTGAGTTTAGACTGCCCTAAACTGATTAATGTCACCCTAAACTCCAGCTGGCACTGCATCTGTTGGCTTTAGTCAATTTAGCGGCTCTGCTATGTTGAGACACACAGACTGTCTTTCTTTGGCATATTTCACAACAAAAACTAACAAAGAGGAGATATTAAAGTAGATTCTTTATAAACAAAGGAAACACTCACTAATGATGGCCATGAGAGAGTTAAAGTTGCCGATGTTGAAACACTCCTGAGCCACATCGATGAAGAACTCTATGATCCGCGCTCTGTGCTTCTTCTTTGGTGGCTTATAAGAGAACAAAAACAGAAAAAGACTTAAAAACATATCCCTAGATGTCTTAATGCATAGACCTCAGATATGTTTTTGTAGTATGTTTTTAAATAAATATTTAGATGAAAGATGTTAAAGTTGTAAAGGTAACAGAATCAATCAGCATACATTGCAGACACTGAATTATAAAAAAGCTGTGAACTGATTTGCATGAAAATAAAAGACCAACAAAACAGAGGTTGTCCTCAGTTAATCTTTTATTCTGTCAATCAGTTGCAGATCTTGAGGAAGAGATTTTCTATTAAGACTGAAACCCAAACATGGGAAGCATGTTATGGTCAATTAGTGGCTGAGCTTTAGCCAGACCTCAGGATGAAAAAAAAAAAGTTACAGCTAATATTTTCTTCTCATTTAAATCAGGCTAGTCATAAAAAAGTAAATAATACCTTTAGCTGCAAGTAAGCAACCCAAAAAATTCCTCTCTATTTCTGTATGCTTGTTTGTGCTCAACATACCATGCAGATCTCTGTAGCCACCAGGTAGCTCAGCCTGTTGAACCAGCTGACGTAAGCCTCCAGGTTGCTCGTTTTACGTTTTCGGAAGAAACCCTGAAGGAGGAACGGGAAAAAAGGAACAATGAAACCAAAGCATGTTAGCTACCATTTAAAAAAAAGTATAAAATATTAGCAGTGGCTCCAACGTAACGTCTCTATATACGTAATTAAAAAGCAAAATAATGGATTAATTTTTTCCAATTTTCTTTTTGACAGACAATTTTAGAATTCAGCAATTTTTTTATATTGGATTTTATCATTTAACATAAATAAATCCAATTTTTCAAAGGATGTAAGAAACCTAAATGCAGTATCTATGTGACAGATGTCTCCCTCAGACAAAAAGCTAAATAGCAACTAAACTCAAAATGATTGTGGGATAAAAGAAAAGAAAAGTGAGACTTTTAGCACCAAGTCTTGGCTGGGTCTGCTTATTTAGGTATCCTGTTGATACGGTTGTTAAAAGAGATCACATCTAACATGATGGGCAACATCTGCTTAATCCTTAGTCTGTTACTCCATAATTGAGACAAAGAAAGCAGCTGCTCTCCCATCACTTGTTTTCCTTAATAGATCTTGACCCACAAAACCTTTTATCGTCACACTCTGACACGTCTCTTATTATTTACATACGCTTTTTGGCTCCCTTGGTTTCCCATAAACCGTGCGGTCTCTAATGTGGCAAACCTGTTTTCCAAAGGTCCTCTTACATAAATAAACACCCTAAAAGCTCTGCATAAATACACTGGACCCGGCCATGATGATGCAATCCCGGAGGTTTATGGCTCCACTAAAAGCTTACACAACACCGGCATCCTACTCCACTCCAAACTTCCCCCTCTCTACACCTCAGGACCCCTTCTGTAGTGACTCAACTGCTCTTTAACAGAGTGGCTTTTATATAACAGCAGCAAAGCAGGTGGGAGCAGAGCAGCAGCAAACGGTGACTGAGAAAGACCCTTCAGCTGATTTCTAGGATCTCTCATGGTGGAAAAGAAGCTCTCTGATGCACTGAGACATACATAGTCAGTCTTTTTTTTATCGTTCTGGGTAACAGACGTTTTCAAGAGCTGAGATAAAAATAAAACCGATAGCCGAACATGTCCCTTTCTATCTGCCACAAGACTCTTTCATGTGGCTTCTATCGCAAATTAAGTCAAACCGGAGCGGACCGCAACGCTCAGAGCAGGACCAGGAAACGCTTCAAATCAAAACTAATTTAAAACGACTTAAAAATAACAACAATGTGCGGTTCTGTTGGGTCAGAACTTTGATGATGGTAATTATAAACAAGCCTTTTTGCTTTATTCTAAAGCTTTCTTTATATAGACAACTATAAGACATTGGTAGGAAATGTGAAGGAAATGATCTAAGCTGCTCTGGGCTGTTCTGCTGACAGTAAAATGTGTGAAAATCTACATGAGGAATCACACTTGAGTGAAATATTTGGTCATAACTCATGCCAATGCACCGGACCTTTAATACATTTTATCACCTCACTTTAAACTCAAATGTGTTCTGCTTGGATTATTATAATACAAAAGTAGGAAACGATTTAAGTGAAGGGAAATTAAGGCACTTAACCAGTTTCATCAGAAATGGAAAGAATATAACAATTATAAAACTGTCCATCCAAACATTCTGACTGCTGTGCAAGGAGAGCCTTATTTAGAGACCCCTGGCGACCCTAGAGGAGCTATATAGACCTACACCTTGGCTGGGAAAAAACTTCACCACATATCTGGCTTTTATGCACACTTAAATATTTTCATTCAGCCTCACCTTGTGGTTTTCCAGAGGATCCTTCATGGCGAAGGATTGGATGAACTCCTCAGGACCAATGAAGCTCAGCCTGTCCTGAAGCAGAAATCAGGCACAGAAAAGTCAGAAAAATTATACAAATAGCAAATAATACATTTGTTCTAATCTCATTTCAATTATTGTACATCGACTGCTAAATTGAAATTCTCATTTTAAAGAACAGAAAAAAAGTTACACATTAATTTAAATCCTTGGATTAAAAATGTCAATTTCTTGTGGTAAAACATTGAAAACTACTTTATTGAAAACCCACCTCATGTAGAGGAGCCACATTCTGGCACAAAAGCAGCTGGTAAAGCTGATCTAACCCTTATTTAACATGGGAAGTCATGGGAACGCTCACCAGTTCAATATGTGTCAGCTGCTGAGCGAGGACGAACGGATCATCGCACACGCTCAGAATGTCGGTCCTTTGAGCCGAGGCCTGTTTGGTCTTTAGTGAAGCCGGACGCTCCTGCGCCGCGGCATTAAGCGCGGCCACGGCCTCCTCGTACTGCCCGAGGGCGGAGAGGCGTTTGATGAGACGCTGGGTCATCTGCTGCATGGCCCGCCAGGAATACTGAAGACAAACATGGAGCATATATGAACTAAACAATTCTATGTCCAGACGAACAACTGGACGTCTGACTCTACTTTCTGCTCACCTCATCCCCTCGTGCCACGTGGAGCGTCATGTCCTTCAGGCAGCGCATCATCCGGTCGTCTCTGAAGTCGTATGGAAAGGTTTCCGTCCACTCGGTGAGCAGCTGGACCAGCTTGGGCGCCACTTCACGAAATCGAATCTGAATATGTTGCAGAGAGCGCAGAGTGAATCCAGTGAGATCATTGCAAAGCTGCTATGTGGGAGTCTGACAAAATTTGGCTTCAATCCCTGCTCCCTGTTTCCACCCACCTTATCCAGGAGGGCGTCTCCGGACCGCTGCTGCTCCACACAAAGGTGACAAACCCTGGTCATGAGCTCATATGGGTGCATGAAGAGGCGTGAGCTGAGCAGGAAGGTGAACACATACGACCTCTAGGGATCAGGAAATATAACGCCATTAAAACAGATTCCTTTACAACCACTGTTAATGATTTAATGCATCGTCCCTGAGAAGCAGAAGTACTACATACATCAGGGTAATAATCCACAGTGGGAACCAGATGCTGGATCAGCGCCTCGAGAGAAGCGGAAACCAAACTGTTGTCATGGTAACACATCTCTCCATAGCTGGTGGCGATGCCGTGACCGTAGAGCCGGGTTTTCGCCGCCGCGCCATTGTTCCGGCAGGAGTGTTCGCTGCTGCAGCTGCTGCTGGTGTGGCGGTACGCCCGGCCTGGACAGGAAGTGCTGTGCTGCCGAGGGCTGTGGGGCTGCGGCGAGGAGTACGGGTTCTCTGAAATCGCACAGCTGCTGCCGTAATGGTGCTCCTTAGCATTCACGGACGAGACCGAGGTGCTCCGGTAGGCGGCGTGAGGCTGCGGCACGTCGTAAGGGTTTTCGGTTGGCGAATAGGAACCGCTATACACGTGGTCTCGGGGAGGTTTTGGGGCGGAGCCCCCGTGGTACGGGCTCGGAGGCTTGACGTGGTTATTGTTGCTGTAGGAAGGGCAGGAGTTGAACTTTCCAGCATAGGGGGTTGTGGGGGGCATGATAACCTCTGGAGATAAAGAAGAAACAAATACGTTCATTTTAGAGCACTGAAAAAAAATCCAAATCTAAATAAGTCCAATTTTCTTGAATTGAGGAGGTAAGTGAGACACTTGGCCAATGGAACAAGACAATTTACTTTTAAAATAAAATAAAAAAAAACATTTGCATTGTGTTATTACAAGTGCATATTATCTTATTTTAAGAGTAAAAACACTCATTGCATTTGAAAATCTAATTTATCTACTCAAATTAAGAGTAAATACACCTAATTTAAGAAATGTTGATGTATTTGTAGATTGTTTTTGCAGTGGTGTGACATTAGGCATAATGTCTGCTTTGCTGCTGTTATATAAAAGCCACTCTGTTCCTTTCCACTTCCTCACATGTTTTAAGAGATTGCCTGAAAGTTCACATCATGATTTATTAATCTGGGCTTTACCAACTGGATTTAAAAACTAAAATCTAATGTACAGTATACTGATAAGCATGGGAGAAGACGTATCTGAGTTTTCCGTATCGATTCGAATCATATTCAATAAATCTGGGTCTAATTTTCAGTCAAATTCTTCTCTGCTAGAACCGTACTGTAATGTCAGCTTTAAAGGTGGGTATGCTCACACTATTTGCTATGGTATATGAGCAAAAAGCAGAACTAGGAATGCATTGTAAAAGTGTTAAATGCTCGCCCTATTTTTTTTCCTCTTTAATGTGAGTACGTGCTTTGTGGGTGTAACGGTGTGGGGTATATAAAAGAAAAGTCACTAAGTTTGGCAATCATTTTCAAACACTACTTCAGCGTGAAACGTCCATCTCTAACATAAACACGACCGTTTGTGACACATCTCCGAGCAGCTGATGAATGGAGCAATTTTACAATCACTAATTCCCTTTTTATCCAAAACCATTTATTCCTTTTTTTATGGCAAACTATTTCCTCAAAACCCAAAGCCGTTGGTTGAATTATGTTTTTTTAGGTTTAGGCCTGGCTTAATTGCGGTAAGGCAACGTTATAATAACCCGTTCTCACCACATCATTTTATCCAGCTTTATTTAACGTATTAGTGACTATCCTTCAGTCAACATGAACAACTAAACTACCTCTACAGCAATAATGTAGATTTCCTGCTGTTTTACCACCTCACACCCTGGGAATGCGGTTGATGTTTGAACTGTACTCAGCTATTGTGAAAATATCTCACTCTGTCTCTCGGAGCTGAGGCTTAGCAAGTGTCTGCAACGATAATCACACCTAATCGCATAATTTTAGTTCTCCTCTGTTTATTATTTAGTGGAAAGGTTTCACCAGCTAGGCTATTTGCTGGGAGTTTTGAAAATAAGCTTTTAAGAAATTTCTGCTCCACCCTATTTTATTGTATCTTTTAACACATTCTTGAAGGGAAGTTCTTGGCAGTGGTGCAGCATGTGAGGGGGAAAATTTACTGATTTTTCTGTCTTAACGGTTCAGATAATTAGATCTGAGGTCAGTAAGCTGATCCACAATCATCGGCAGAGCGTGTTTTAGCTTTGGAGTCATCTTTATCCTGCTACTGTAGTTTGTCCATGAATCATATACATATATCGAAAGAAAACAGAGAGCCCTGCAGGAATCCAGCAGTCTTATTCGTTCATTGCATTGCCAACAGTGGAGTGTGGGCCTGAGCCAACATTTAACTCACTTTCACACACACCCTCGTCCACCATGGCGCCTTGCCCCAATGCCAGCATAATCCAGACTCACATACACACGTCAGACACAAATCCAAGATGAGTGGAGCAATGCATACAAGCAAACACACACAGTCACAAGGAATCCACGGCTTCTGGCATCCTGCCTGAGCAGGCCAGTCCAGGCCGAAACTCTGTGATCTCTGCCTGCTGTTAACCTTCTGACTCAGTTAAAAGATCATAGCGTTTTTGTTTTGTTTTTTACCAAAAAGCTAAGCCAAAGGCGTTCATGTTGAGATAAGAGTTGAATGGGTAATATTTTCTTTGTTTAACCCCCCCCCCCCTCTCTGTGTTTATGTTTTCAGTCAAAGCAAAGGGGGAAACGCGTCTCGTAACCCAAAACCAGTCGTGATTTTTCCAGACCCACTTCCTGCATATTTGACCCCTTTTGGGTCGCTGTGGCTTCCACGCTGTGGCGTTGAAATTGCACTCCTTCAAAATCATAGGTTGGATTCCCAGTGGAAGGATTAAAAATGGCATTGGGAAAATAGCTTCATATTAAAAGGGGATTGTTTGCATTCGCTTGTTTTCAAACTGCAGCCTTACAATTCAGTTTTAATGTGCCTGAGCTTCAATGCCTTTCTTCAGTACTGGAAATGCACAAATCCTCTTTTTTTTTCTTTTAGACTTTGCCAACACTGACTTAAAAGAAATCTGATTTCCCTTTATTTGTATAGTCTAAGATATAAAAACAGCAAGAAAAGACACTTTTTGTCTAGCCGCATTCCACTGGTTGAATTTCAAATAAAAACAAAATAATTGAGATTTTCAGCTGTCTTTGGGGTTTTATTTGTTAGCATGGTACCCAATAGGTCCCTTTTAACAGATGCCAAAAATCAAAAACTGTTAAAAGAAAGCAACTTTCCTTTCTTCGTTCGGCCTTCCTGTTATCTGCTGGAACTCTTGCTCTCTCTTTCAGCCTGATCAAATGTAGCCAAGTCTTTATAGATCATTTTTCCTCAGATACTGAAACTTTTCTTCTCACACCAACCGTGCTGAGACCAACCACCTGGGAGCTGTCACATGCGGTGCGGTTACTGACTGGAATTCAGAGTTTTTGCTAGTCACCAACTATTCCTCTGATGCTCCATCCTAAAGCTTTCCCACATCTAATGTGGTTGTAAAACATGCATGGTGCACTGCTGAGACCACTGGCTGGTGGGGCACTCTACAACAAAAGAGGTATTATCTCTCCTGTCATGGCATTAACAAAAACACAAAGAGCTCCAGAGGGAGATCCGAAGAGATCAGAGCACATTGGACACACAGCAGTTTTCACACACTCGCTGCCACCCGGGCTCTACAGGGATCAAGCCTAGGACTACTTTCAACCAGGTGAATGAGTAAACCTTACAGTGAGACTGTCTACACACAACAACATTCAACTAACAAACAGGTTGGCTTTTCCTTTTCACATACACATAGCATTTTAAATGTCATCTCCATTTCCATTTCCCTTGTTCAACAAGTTTGTTAAAGTAGAGATACATCAAACAGTAGCAGGAAAACCAAACCCTGAAGGACTGGAGTTTGATGCATGTGCACTACTTGAGTTGCTAACAATTGCCGCCAGTCATTTCCGTTCCATGCCACTAGTAGACAGTATGTTCTTATTAGCTCAACATGTGCATGATAACAAGAACAAAAAGGTCCCTTCATTGGATTATCTCTCAGAGGGCCTGAAATGTATGTATGGACATACAAGGTTCAGCTTTAACTGTAAAAACACCGCTGTGGTTTTTAAAATGTTTAGCAAGCATTGGGCGTTCATTCCTACTGACAGTCATACTGCAAATGTACAGGAAAAAAAATGTTTTTCCTGTGTATACGACATCACAGATTAGAAAGTTTTTGAATTCCTCCACCGTCAATGTCGGAGTAAATGCACGCTGCTGTGGTTTAACAAAAACAGCAGAAGCACAACAAAAATGTTTCCAGGGCTTCAGTTAAAAAGTCATCATCTACTCCTAATGTATAGGTGCAGAGGAATTTCCCTGCTTGCTCTTGAAAATAGGAGGATCTCCAAACCGACATGTTGACTTAGGCGTTCATGAACCTCAAGGACAGACAGCTGCAAACCCCCCAAAAAAATGGTGCAAAACAGACTTTGAGGTTTTGTATTTATGCACACACAGCACTGACCGACAGAAAAAAAAACAAAAAAATATTTCACTCATGAAAAATAGCATGCAAACAGTCTGCGGCTAGCTCGGGCATTCAGAGTTGAGCTCATTCACTGTACAAGCTGACCAAAAAACATAAACAGTTTGTGTAGTTATCCCCCAATTCTTCCAATTTAATTATACTAAGAAGCCGCTTTGAATCGTTTGCTGGATGAAAGCTGGATGTTCTGTAAACCAGTTTATCTGATAGCAGAATTTAGTTTCATTTGTTTCACAGAAACCTCTGCTCATTATAAAGCTAAAGTTCAGCACGTAGCAAAGGTTAACACACTGTGAACACCCTGCATGTGATAAGAGTAGCTGTAAAACAGCTATTCAGATTGGAAGCAGAACAATGTAGAGCGCTGCTATCTCTGCACCTGATGTACTTTGACACTAATAAGACACGGCAGGTGTAGGGTGTGAACAAGGAATGTTTTCTAGACAAGAGGACATACCTAAGTCAGACTGTGTGAATAAACAAGGCTAAAGGCAAACCTGGCCTTAAGTCACATACATGCTTGTTTCATTAATGTTAAAAAAAAATATGTGCAAAACTTAAGGTGTTATTACGAGTGACAAAAACTGACATTACGAAAACACTGGCCATATATCAGTACGTGTACTTTTGCGTTCTCATGTGCTCGTGTGCTCATGAAACGTCATCAACCTCAGCCCTAGTACTATTGTACTAGTACAATGAAGCGCTCCATTGAAAGTTAAAAGTTCTCTTTTCAGTTGCTGTTGTTCAATAAAAGTACGTTTTAGGATCATTTGAGGTGAGAATATTATACTTTAAAGCGTCACTATATGATCCATTTGCCGATTTAATGCGTCATTTTTTTTTTTTTTTCTGAAGCTGAGAGGAACGCGGCAACCAGTGGACCTCCGAGGGTAATGGAAGCCTGGGCTAACCGCAGCCCGTCTGCAGCGGCCCTCTCTGCTGCAAAGCCGTGTGTGAAGGACCGTTGGCTATGGTGGTGATTTCTTTGTTTTATTTGGAAAAATGTTCATTTGATTTGTGTTTATCTGACTGTGTTCATTATTATTCCCCCACTAAATGAAACAAGTAATAATTTATTATTATCTAGAGACTATTAATAACAGGTAAAATCCAGCTCCAGATGAGCCGAGCATGTGGTGACGTTGCAACTACTCCTTTGTTCCAATTGACCCATATTTATGCGGCATGCTCCCGTTCTCCCCAAGTCCAGACTTTCCTGTGTTCTCCTCAAGAACATACTTGGTAAGGACACGAGTCCGTACTCGCGTTCTAGTGATTGAGAAACTGATTTGACATCAAAATATTAATATGGTGGTAATTCAACTTGTGACTACCTCAAACTAAGCTGAAATCTAAGTCCGGCTGATAGGATATTAAAGATAAAGAATTTCAGAAAATGTGGTAAATAAGAGTTAAAAACTGGTTTTAAGAAGAAAATAAAACCTGACCTAAGTCATGTTTTTTTTTTTTTTTTTTATGATCTCAGGGCGACCTAAACCACATAAATCAATGCTGGCAAAGTGTTGAACGTTTTATTAACAACATCGGGGTCAACACAAGAGATGAGAGGTCAGAACTGAGAGACACACTTTTAAAAGTGAAGCAAGCTTTGCCTGTTTTACCCGTTTTTGGTCTTTCAACGACTGCAAGCCAGTCAACTAAAGGTAAAAGGCCTAAATCAGCAGGAATCTTCCAAAGTTTTACTCTCATTCTATCAACTGATGCACCAAACAAGGACCATGGATCAAATTCAGACAATTTGTTTTTAAAAGTGGCTTTAATATAAAGATTCAACTTATGTGATTGTTGTTATTGAAAGGGCCTTTTCAAGTGAAATTTTACAATTCATTCCAGTAATTCAAGGTAAAGGATTTGTTAATGAAACCAGACTTTAAATAAAAAGATATCCATTCAAATTAAGATATCAGTCCAAGATTTAATAGATAATGGGAACTTAAGAAATTGGCACATACCCGGTACATCATTTTCACACTATATTTTGTTTTTTCCATACCTGGTGACAGAATAAATTACATTTTATTGTTCTGTTTAAAACACATCCTGAAACATGTTTATGTTTAGATGTTGGTCCTAGTTTTGTTACAATCAAATAAATCTTAGACACTATTGAATGATGGTATAAATGGGGTAAATAAACACATTTTCCTTTGGTGTCTTTAGTGCTCCACCTATCAATGAACCAGCAGCGCATTTGTCTTTTTATAGCATATATAATTGGTGAATTCAAGTGAGTAGGTTATGAGAAATTAGTAGATTTCTTCTCAAAGAAAACTGAAAATTAGTTTTGATCAGTAGAAGGTGGATTGATGCAGTTTCAGTTGTAATAAAATAGTGTATCACTTTCCTGTGTTTGACAAATGTAGCATTAAAAAAGCTTTACATAGATGGGTATATTTTTGTGTTGTGTTCATGTCAGAAAAAAAAAACAATCATCCACTTACTTCCACCTACACATTTGTTTTTTTTTAACTGAACAGCCCTGCTAACCCTTACAGCCAATTCATCACCCAGCTTTCACACGTCATCCATGTAGCTGGCAAAGAGCTCCACTGGAATGACGAGGAAACAGCCCTGAGTCCAAACAAACTCTTGAGGAAGCGTGTGGGTCAGAAGGAGGGGGTGGGACCCTGCAGCCACCTCTGTCAGACCCAGTGACCACTACAAAGATTTGATAAAAGCAACCAGAGCCCAGAGCAGATTCACTGATAAACAGGTTATCCAGCAGTGCATTCAAGCATGGATTACCTTCCTAAAGCACAGTCTCAGGTTAGTATCACAAACATGCCTGCTGTGAGGATCATCTGGTAGGCTAGTACAGCATTAACCCAGAGCCAAAAAGGATAAAGGGACTTTATCTCCTCGGCAGGTTGGATCTAAGCTCTGGTTCAAATTTCTAGGTTTTTCTAACATTTTGACATTTGAGTGCTGCAAATTCATCTTGGTTAAAGGCTGTGCATTCCAAAAATCCTTTTAAAAATATCCTGAAGTTTGCTTTCTTTATATCTAAACCAGCTTAAGAAAACAAATGAGTGGGACAGTAGGTAAAGTAGTGATCAAAGACAGAGGAAACCATCTAAAAAATAAAATAATGTAAAAAGCCTTTCTTTCTTAGTATGAAATTCTAATGTAACAGAATTAGGAAAAGCTATTGGGAAAAGATACCATTCCAGGCATAAATAAAATATAAAAAGTCAACTTCTGAGGTTTGGGTCGTTAACAACTGATGTAAAAAAACAAAAAAAACAAAAGAAAAATGTTTTCGAAACGTTGCAGTTTTAAACTTGTTGAAATTTTCCATCATACCTCTCCTACTGCTTCCTACAATGAAAGTGCTGGAGTGACCATAGTTTTCTCTATGGAGCACATACAAAGCTTATACCCTCCCCCACTTGTTTCTGCGCTTCGCTTAAAACGATAAAAAACTCTATTATATTAAATCAGTAGATTAATTTTCATTCTAAAGGGCTGTTTATGTCGTTATATTGAAAAAAAAAATCTCAGTTAAATAAAGATGTTACTCATAACCTCTCTATAACTGAATTGCTCACTTACATTAATTTCAGTTTCAATTCAGTTTATTTCTATAGCGCCAATTTAACAACACATGTCACCTCAAGGCACTTTACAGTTGACCAGATCATACAGTCAATTGATTCAAAGTTTTCTACCTAAGGAAAACCAGTTGATTGCATCGACTCATTGACTCGAATGCAATCCCTCACACTAAGCATGCTTGTAGCGATAGTGGAGAGGAAAAACTCCCTTTTAACAGGAAGAAACCTCCAGCAGAACCAGGCTCAGCTTGAGCGGCCATCTGCTGAGGCTGACCAGGCTTCAAGGAGACAGAAGCAGAGATACAAAAAGCAACTGTAAAAGCCAGGAAACACACAGCCAGGCAGACAAACTCCGAGCCAGCCACAGTCAGAGAAACAGGACTACACTGGAAAACAGGCCTATCTCTTTATTATTTTTACTTTATCTCTCATTATTTAAACAAAAAACTTTTTAGACGATGTTTTTCCAGTAATTTTCAGCAAATTTGCAAAGAAAATATTTAGTTCTTGTAAGGTTTTTAAAAGGACAATTATAGTTTTATTTATCACCAACATGAATCAGAAAAAAAATAAAGCTATATGAAAATGTGGGACTTCAGGATAGTTTTTTAATAGCTTGTTTAGACGGATAGACTCCCATTGCTCACCTTTGTAATAATTAATAATGGTTATAAACCATGTGGAAGGTGCTGGAAGCTGGCAGCCAAAACTCAAGCTTCACACACATTTGCCCAAACCTTTCACCCCCACACACTGAAAAATCTGTAAGTTTCTCTCTCACACATCAGACCACACTCCTGTTCCACATTATAAGCTTCTTACTGAGTCATAACACAGTAAAAAAGAGAAAAAGTAAAGGCTGACTGTGGAGAAACCATGCTGTGCAACCACAGGTGCTGGGTGAGTAATGTTTGCTTCTGTCTGACTGCCAGCCTAATTATAAACTCACATGGGCGGTAAACAATAACAACAACAAATGGAGAGACTCCACAGGGAAGAAATTGGACTTCATTATTATCAGGAGAGTTAAAACTTTGCACTTGTCTTCCACAGTGCCAAAAAAACTGAACTAGAAACGTGATGCGTTCACGTTATTTTAGGTTATTTATTATTTCTGTGATGCCTAATGTTACTTAAACTCATATAACACTTTAAAAGTACATTTTCTAAGATGAGAAACTAAATTGATTTAAATATAAACGCTAAAATCTCATAAGTACGTCACAATTTAAGTGTAACGCTTAAGAGAAAAAAAGCTTACCTCTTAGTTATGGCGCTCAGAGTCCAAATAAAAGCGATTTGAACAAATGCGAGGAAGAAAAACTATGCACAGCGTCTTCCTCGGTATCGCTAAGTAGTTCTGATAAAGTCTATCAGCAACGTGTCCGTGTGGCACTCTGCTCCATTGTGTCTCTCCGCTCCTGATATCTGAGTCAATTATTTGAACCAGCAGGGCTGTGTTGACTGAGCCCCACAAAGCGAAGCGTATTCAAATGACCTCACTTGAGCCGGGAAAACTAGCCAATCAGCTGACATGGGCGGTAGCCTCAAAGGAATACATGGGCCAATACATGAGCAGCAGGGAAAAGAATCGAACTTTAGAAGGATTCTGATTGGCTGAATCTCTTCTCCAGTTAGTTCTGTGGTTTCGGGACTGCAAGAGGAGCTGGTGTTTTTGTTGGAGAGCTGAAATATGGAAGGTGTAAGGTTTCCCCCCAGGAATGTGTTTCTGTGAGTGCATGTGTGGTGGTCTGGTTGACTTAAAAGTCAAAAGGCTGTGAGTGAAGCAGCTTTTAAGACACAGAGCATCACAAAACCAATATATCAAGATAAAATTAAGGGGAAAAAAAGATATATAGTTTTCAAAAACTGTTAATAGAATACATATCTTAACCTCAATCTTCCTCATTTAACCCACCCCCAAGTCAATACTCTGAAAAAAAAAAAAAAAAAAGACCATTTGTACTTATTTTGCAGCTGTAATGTCTCTATCAGGCTAGATTTGCATATTTAAACGCTAAACATTATATCAGATTTTAAAATATGTATGTTTGCAGTGTACTTTACAATAAAGTATTTTTTAAACTAAAACATACACTTTGTTAAAAAAAATAAAAAAGTAAATTTATATTTGTTTTTATTAAACAATGTTTATGTTAACTCTGATGCCTTGGGATTGTAAGGTATATGGTTCATTGGTAGTATCAGGTCGGTATCGGGCGAAACGCTCAGCCTAGGTATCGGTATCGGATTGGATCAGAAAGGACTGGATCGTGCATCTCTGTTAGATACTGAATTTTCTATCTATTCTTTTATGCAAAATCACTGAAAGTCACACTGAATATAAGAATTCTGTAAAATGTAGCTTTTAAGTATTTCACAAAATCTCTATTAATTTTAGGTCTGAACTTTGGCTGGGAAATATTTTACCTAAAAAATGTAATTACAGTTATAACTGCATATTTTATGTTTTTTTTTTTTTTTTTTTTTTTACAAGAAGGAGAAGTTCTGTGCTTTGTGAGTATAGGAAAGAAAGCCCACAGTAATAGATTTCTGCTTAAACCACAGTCATATAAAACATCAGCTGAATGTATATTTGCCTTACCGGTTAATTTTATTCAAATAATTTCACTATATTACTTTTTTCTCACTATGCTGTGAGCGTAATTCATAATTCTATTCATTACTAAACATATAAGTGTGAAAATTATTTGACAAATAAAAGAATAAAATTTGTATATCTTTAAAGAATTTGACGACTGCAACAGGTCTTGACAATGACAGAGTGAGGATTTTTTCAACTCCCCTCACTTTCTTTTGCAGGGCCTTACTGAGTGCTCTGTTGCCAATGAAGTAAGTAAATTCAATCCAGATTTCTGCAACCAAATTTATTTCAGGAATTTTCTGCATTGCAGTGCTGCTTAGGTCTGAGCAATCAGTGAAACTACCCATTTTTAGAACACTTTTCACTTCTAAGACTTGGCAAGATTTTTCTATAAAGTATATTAAATATGTGAAAATATTGAGTGTTATGTTGAATTAGAAACTTAAGCAGACCCACAGTAGCTCATTCACTGTACCAGTTTCTGTTTTCATCATCAATGACATCCTGTCTTATTAGTTAAAATATAATAAAGTAAATTATATAATTCCTCATTGCAAGAGAAGAAAAACTGAAAAGAAAAGGCAAGGCATTTTCTTACAAAGGTTTTGATGTATTTGAAGGTTTAAAATAACCACATATATGGCTGCTTTAAAGTGGGGAACCTCCTTTTTCATATAAAAAAGAATATTACTGCTGCTGCGTGTGTGCAAGATAACTAAATTAGTTTGCTAATTGCAACGGCATGTTTATGCTGTTGATACCTTTAATAAAAATAAAAAGCTGTGTCCATAAAGAGAAGAGTTAAAGAGGGATTCATTATGGTTACAGATTCTGACATAAAACATTTTACATGGAGTTTACAACACTCTTTATCTTTTAATTTAAACTTTTGTGAGTTTGTGGGCATTAAGGCATCTAATATTACACTCTAGCTGATCACTTTCCCTCAACATGTCTTCTCAAAACTATATCTTTAAAATTCAGCAATATAAATGGAGTTACTGTGTTAACTTTAGAAGCAGGGCCACGCCTCAACCGCCCATTTAACCACCCTGCAGTCTGGATAATTAAAGATGTGGTTCGATCTACATGCATTCATACTAAAATCTCCTATAAAGCATTTTACTGTATTCGTCCCCCCCGCACCACTTTTCAATCTCTCCTAACCTTTCAACCTTTACCCATAATCCCTACATCATCCATCTCCTCTTTCTCCCTCATCCTTTATCAATATTCCTCACACCATCCCTTCACCATCCCTGCCTCATTAATCCCTCATCACACCATTATTTATAAACCTTGCCTTCCTTTTTTTGCCTATCTGAGGCTTGTTATTATTCTTCCCCTAACCCTACCTCCATCATACCTTATCCGTCATCCTTGCATTATTGTTTCACTATCCCCTCCTCATTCTACTCCTGTGTCACACACTTGTTCATCCCCTTTCCTTGCTAATTTCATCATAAATCCCATATGCCTGACTCATTCATTCTCTGTCCAGACCTCATCCATCCCTCATACCCAACCTTGTTACGATTCATATCTTCATGCTGGTCATGTTCTAGGGGAGTGATGGCCTATCGGTTAGGGCGTAGAGATTGGAATCCTAAGGTTCTGAGTTCGAGCCCCAGTCCACTCTGGGTCCCTGAGCAAGACCCTTAACCCCCACACTGCTCCCCGGGGCCCGCACAACGGCAGCCCACTCCCCCCCATGGAATGGGTTAAATGCAGAGAATTCATTTTGTTCTCTGTACTTGTGACAGTGTAATGACAATTATAAAAGCTGGATAAAATGTTCATCCTGTTTATTGCTCATTTTCTATCACTCATCCTTATCTGCTTCTAGCTACTTTCTCCATGACTTCACCCCCACCTTGTTCAACGCTCAACTATACTTGCAACAAACATCTGTACTTTAAGATTTCTAGTTCTAAGTTTTAATCATCACTTGTGCATAAATACATTTTCCTCATCTTTGCTTCCTTCACCCCTTCTTTCCTCATCACTAAATCCTTCGGTCTACCTCCTTTGACCGTAGTCCTTTCTCCCTATACTGTATCCCTTCGTCTGTCATTACCTAATTCATGATCGATTCTTCTTTCAACTCCTTCCTCCCTCTGATCTCTTCTTTAACCTCTCCCCCACTGTATCTATTTGTTCACCTGTGCCCTAACGTTTGGAAAGGTCCTTATGCACATCAAGTAATTACTGCACTGATCAAAGAGCTGTCATTTTCTGTGTTTCCATCTAAAGCAGCAGATCTACTAACATAGCTCTATTAACTCCCCAGTTCACATCTCCAACAATATCCATTAATCTCCTCCAGAATTGTTTAAGCGGGCTGCTGTGGCGTGGTCCCTGCCAGTAAAATGCCTACACTGCAGCTCTTCTAAGCCGTTAAATTGTACCTGATTTGTGTAAATATGTAATCTCTCTTGTTGAGACTAAGTGGGAGTATAATCCGCTACTCCCATGGAGCCTGAATGATTTCACCATTCCACGACTTTACGGTTATATTTCAACTCATAAAACAAGGTTCTCCCTAAATTCAGAAGTGAAAACATCATGACAACAACATTTCCAGAAAACAACAAATATGCGTTTTTTTTTAACACAAGATCTCATGTATGAACCAGTGAAGTAAGGCGGACTGAACTTTTCACTTTGTCGGACTGTACAAACACACTTCATACACCTCATCTGCTTTTCTAAATGTTTAGAGCATGCTGTAAATATATATATAAATTGCTTCTTCCCACATTCTAATTTCACTAAATGTATAGCAATTACAGCAAGATTGGTGCACATGTATTCACCCACCCCTTCAATTACTGCTGCCATCCACTGCATCCAGTCAGAGCAGTTTATCTCTTGCATAAATGTCAAATTACATAAACACTGATTTAGTCTTGCAGCATACCCAGGCTCTGAGGTTGTAGGCGGCGCTCGGTTTTTCTGATCACAGACGCCTCTTACATTCTGACACATCACCATTCAGGCAAGAATAGCTGATTTCTGACTCGTTTGGGGCTGCGGGGTCTTCTCATTTCAATAATCCAACTCCTACGCTCCCACGCCAGGAACCCTTCGCACACAGCTTCCGGCTATGGTCATCTATTCATGGATCTGAAACGCACTGAGACAAAGGCAGTCCACTGCAGGCGAAGACTTGCAGGCACATGCACCTTTCACTGGTATTAATTGTTTTTCAGAGTACTATATAAAGACCTTTATGGACCTGTGTCTTCTAGTTAATCCTTTTTGATGCAGGACTTCCGGTTTAATTTACAAATAAAATCAAATATGACATCTTCCTGTTTGACATTTGATACACTTATGGATGTAAATGGCTGTGAATTAAGAACTTGAATGAGTTATTAGGAAAAAATACTATTTTGTGGAGAAAACACTGGGCAACCAGTCATATACTTCACACTGTTCTTTTGTTTTTATTTTTACTTCTCAATAAAGCATTAAACAAATCAAAAAAATTTCAAACTTAGGTTAACCTCTTAGCTCTTCTTTGGAAACTTTTCTTGCTTTTAACCAAACAGATGAGCAGCAAACATCTAAAGTTACATATTTATTCATTTCCTTTTCTACTGATAAAAGCATTGCAACAGCCTACAGTCAGTTCTTGAGTTTATTTGATTTCCTGTTCAGATTGAAAACCTTGCAATATGGTTCATGGGATGATCAAGTTTACTTGCAGCTTCATAAATAGTGGTTGCTTTTTAGCAAGAAGGTTCTGGGTTTGATTCCCGACCCTCTGTCTTTCTGCATGGACTTTGCAAGTTCTCCATGAGCATGCGTGGGTTCTCTCTGTTCTCTCACTTTGGTGTTGGCCAGGGTGTA